CTCTGAGTCTTCTGTAGAGTTGTTGAAGATAGTTGTCCATTAAGATGGTTGTCCTTTAAGAAAGGAGCCTTGATAAATTCTCCCAAAATCGAATCAGAAAAAGAAAAAGTATCTAAGTTTGGCACCTGTTTGCTTCCTTCTTAGGGAGCTTGCTCACTGCCTTCCAAGGCAGGCCATTCATTGCACTGTTGGGCGGTTCCTTAACTGGGGCCCCTGGGTGGCTCAGTCAGTTAAGCGTTCAGCTCTCGATTTTGGCTCAGGCCATGATCTCACAGTTCTTGAGTTCAAGCCCTGCATCCGGCTCTGTGCTGACCGCACAGAGCCTGCATGGGATTCTCTTTCTTCCTCTCCCTCTGTCCCTCCCCCACTGGCACAAGCTCTCTTTCTCTCTCTCAAAATAAATAAACACAAAAAAAAGTTCTTTAACTGATACCTGATTCTCTGTGAGAGCTCCTAGCTCTGCCCCCAAGGCTGCAGAGAGTAAGCCAACTCCTTTGGTCTCTTGAGAGCTCTGCAGAGATTTGAGAGAGAGGACTCTGCTTCCATACTTGCATTCTTACTAGTCCTGGCTCTTGGACTCCTCAGGCCACATTAAATTTTCTCTTTTCAAATGTGCTGAGCTCTTTTGCTTCCCATGCCTCTGCATGTGCTAAGTTTTTCTAATGCCCTCTCTCTACCTATTCTTATCAGGCAGCCTTATTTTTTCCAGGACCAAAACTGCTACCTCCTTCATTCATCCAACCCTGTGCAAGGCACTGTGCTAGGTGCTAGGGACACAGAGGAGAACAAGAAAGACACTGGTGCTGGTAGGCCAGGTTCTCGCTGAGGGCTCTTTCATGGTGTCTGAGTTAGCCTCTCTCTGCTCCATGCTTCCATATCTCTGTTGTAGCACCTATCACTCATCACCTTGTATCAGCAAAGATTTCATGTCACCTCCTCGAAAGTGAGTTCCTGGAGAACACAGACCTCTATCTTCCCTAGCCTTCACACACAGCTTTGCACACAGTAGGTGCTAAATAAAGGTTTGTTGAAGAATATCCTTGTTCCTTCAAATAGTCCTCTTGTGACATGTTATTTGTGGCCAAGGCCTCCTCCTGGGCAGTAGGCTGCTTGATTATGTAAACTTAGCATAGTGATAAGGATCAGAGAGATTACCATAAAGCAAAGACTTCTTAACCCAGTCCACTTAATTCTGTAAGTAAGATTCTAAAAGCAGATCCACCTAAGAGTGAATGTAAGAGGAGTACATAATAGGCTCTACATCGGTGTGCTCGTAAATATGTAACAACCAGCTCTCTCAGGGAAAAAAGCCCTGGTTTATAGCAGTTGCCAGTTTCCATGGTGTAGATACTCCCACCGTGGCCAATTTCAGGCTAGCAACGTGACATCACTGGATGTGGACTTGACGTAGGACACCATTATGTAGTATTTCCATTACCGGGTCCAATAGACGTAAATAATTTCAAGAACACCGATGGTAAAATGTAGGAATATAATTAGAGGTTGAAGAGTTTGAATGTTTTGAATATAACTTATTTGTGAGTTTATATGACTTAATGTTCAGAATAATAGTGTTTAACAACCAGCTTGCAAAATTCCTGTGAATTTAACACTTAGCTCTTCTGAGCCCTTAGAGCCAACTCTAGTACACTGCCTTTACTTGATGATGTCCTGAAAGAAGTGAACAAGTTGAGTCTTTAAAGCTGGGTCCAGTTTAGGTACATTGGGAGGAAAGTGTTATTTAAAGGAACGGTCAGAGTTAATTTATTTGTAAATTGAACAACCGCCATTCCACTCCCACCCTTCAGCCAGGTTAGAGTTACTTATCCATGTAACAAACATTTACTTAAAACCTATTATTGCAAAAAAACCCCAAACAAACCCTATTATTGCTTTAGGACATATTCCGTTGGATCTCCAGATATTTGTGCATATAGTTGGCTTAAATAAATGTTTGTAGAATGAACTCGAAGCTTACCCGTATTTATTTGTATGGGTTTTTAATGTGGCTTCGTGAACATGTCTAAGTCTTTTATTTTCTTTGTAAACCTTAGTGGGCTCTCCTCTCTTCCCAGAACAGCCTGCAAATAGGGATTCTGATAGAGAGAGGTATCAGGAAACCAGGATGAGGGAAGACAAAGCCCTTAATTTCACAGGCTCTCATGAGGGAAACTGAGCGGGGACAAGTGTCTTTGGAAGATGGAGTGGGATCATCCTTCATCCAGATCCGAAGCTCTGCCACCAGCCAGAAGCCTCCCTACTGCAATGCCATCACTAACCAAGCCAAAGCAGAATGGAACTTATGCCCCTGCTTCCTCCATGTTCAGGGGGACCTTTGGAAAGCAGTTTGTCCTCAGAGACTTCTCTCAGTAGGTCTGTGAAGACGTAACTAGAGCGCCAGAGGACGGTGCCATAGAACTTGGGTCCCACAGCCAGATGGTGGCAGGCACTGTACCCACCTGAAGATGGGAACTAGGAGCTACCAGTTATCTGGTTTTTTCTCTGCCAATATACAGATTTTAAAAATTTTTTCCAGAGTTATCTTTTTTTAATGTTTATTTTGAGAGAGAGAGTGCACCCACGAGTGGGGTAGGGGCAGCGAGAGAGGGAGAGAGAGAATCTCAAGCAGATTACACGCTGAGTATGGAGCCCTACACAGGGAGTAATCTCACCACCATGAGATCATGACCTGAGCTGAAACCAAGAGTCAGACACTTGACCGACTGAGCCACCTAGGCATCCCCTTAAATCTTGATCACTGCTATATTCCTGGCTCCTGAGACAGTGCCCATAGTAGAGTCTTACTGAATTTTTAAATTTAATTAATTATTTATTTTAAGTAAGCTCTATACCCAATGTGGGGCTTGAACTCATGACCCCAAGATTAAGACTGGCATGTTCCACCGACTGAGCTAGCCAGCCACCCCTGACTGTTTGTTTTTTGTTTTTTTTTAAATCTAATGTCAGGGCACCTGGGTGGCTCAGTTGGTTAAGCCTGACTTCAGCTCAGGTCATGATCTCATGGTTTGTGGGTTCGAGCCCCACGTCGAGCTCTGTGCTGCCAGCTCAGAGCCTGAAGCCTACTTCGGATTCTGTGTCTTCCCCTTTTTCTGCCCCTCCCATGATCATGTTCTGTCTCTCAAAAATTAGTAAAAATGTTAAAAAATTTTTAAAAATAATTCTAATGTTTATTTCCTCTTGAGAGAGAGACAGAGCATGAGCATGAGCAGAGAGAGAGGGAAGAGAGGGGCAGAGAGAGAGGGAGACACAGAAATCAAAGCAGGAGGCTCCAGGCTCTGAGGTGTCAGCACAGAGCCCGATGCGGGGCTCAAACCCACCAACCATGAGATCATGACCTGAGCTAAAGCCCAGTGCTTAACCAACTGAGCCACGCAGGTGCCCCCGACTGTTTTTTTTTTTTATATTTATTTTTGAGAGAGAGAGAGAGAGAGAGAGAGACAGAGTGTGAGCGGGGGAGGGGCAGAGAGAGATGGAGACACAGAAACCAAAGCAGACTCCCGGCTCTGAGCTAGTTGTCAGCACAGAGTCCGATCTCACAAACCGTGAGATCATGAACTGAGCCGAAGTCGGAAGCTCAGCCGATTGAGCCACCCAGGTGCCCCCTGTTGTTTTAAATGAATGAAAATAAATGGAAGATAGGATACTTACCTGGATGATCTGATTCATGTGAGGAGTGAACCCTGGACTTAAGACTACAATCCTTTGAATTTAACCACATCAGTATTTTCACCACTGTTATTATTTCCTTTTTTATTATTATCATTCTCCCATCATCATTATCAACAATAATTCTGCGTGACACATGGGGGTTCTTACTGTTTATTGACCGACTGAATGAATGAATGGACAGACCTCAACTTTACAGCTAGCCTCAAACTATCATTTCTAGTCTTATTTACTATTCCCCCTCCCCCATTCTAACTTCTTACATATACTCTGCTCCAGCCACTCAGAAGCAATAATTTTCACTCAGCACACTGTGTCTTCACATCTCAGTGTGTTGGCTTATTCTGCTGTTCCTTGTATTTGGAATTCCCACTCTTTTTTTCAGTGAGTTCTCATCCTTTCTTTAGGACCCCATTTTGCAACCCATCTAGATGGTCACTCTCGCTTCTGTGCTTCCAAGTCACTTTGCCTGCACCACTATGAAAGCCCATCGCCCATCCTGAACTATAGTTGTCCGTTGACATAACTGCCTGTTCCTTAGATAAAGACCTCCTTGAGGGCGGGGACACTGAATTTTCATCTCTGTGTTCTCAGGAATTGTTGCTGGGCCTGTCACACAGCAGTTTCACAGTATTTGTTGAAATCAATCTGGTATCAGGGGCACCTGGGTGGCTCAGTCAGTGAAGTGTCAGACTTTCGCCTAGGTCATGATCTCATGGTTCATGGGCTCAAGCCTCACTTCGGAGCTGCTTCAGATTATGTGTCTCTGTCTCTGTCTCTGCGCTTCCTCTGCTTGTACACTCTCTCTCTCAAAAATAAATAAACGTTAAAAAATACTAAAAAAAAGAAATCAATCTAGTATCAGACATAGGCTACGTGCAGAGCCACATGCTAGGTGCTGGAGGAGATGATATACAAGGCTGGTCCAAAACACCGCCCCTGACCCTGAGTGCTTACAATCCAATTGGAGACACAAGTCCCTTTCATAGGAAAAAATATCATTAAAAACCAGTATATTCTGGAATTAAATGGGAGAAAGGAGAAAGCGTGGTGTGCTGGAACACGGATAGGACTGGACTTGGTTTCTGATCCCTGTTTTACCATTAACTCGCTATGTAGCCCTGACACCTTATTTCTCTTCTTTAGACTTTGGTTTTCTTCTTTGTAAACGAAGATGTTTGATTAGAAGCCTTGTATGATTTCTAAAGGCCAGATTCCAGCTCTGACATTCCGAGTTTGGCTCCATGGAAACTAAGTGGAAGAGACATGGCGAGAGCTCAGTAGTCTCGGTTTGCCCCCTGGTGGTCATTCGGCAACATCACAGGGTGACAGCCGTAGGCTTTTCCCAGGGATGGAGACGGCGGAGCTCAGAGCCTAGTAAACAAAGAACAGCGGGACAATGACCATTCTAGAAGAGAACCAATCAGGTTTCCCACTGGTTACTGGTAGGTGGGTATGGAATCCTATCCTCCTTCAGAATAGAGGAACTTAGGAGATCGTACTCTCTGTTCTCAGCCTCCAGCTGAACCCATTCCATATCTGTTTTTTTTTTCCAAAACCAGGAGTCAATCTTTGGGAGGCTACTTTATAGTCCTCCTGACTTTTCTTCTGCTCCCATCACAGTGCTCTCTTCTGAGGCGAATTCTTCATTCTGGTCAGTATTACTATATACCCATTTATTTATGACAAAATGAGGGTTTCTCTCCCTCTTCCTCTTTTCCTAGAATAGGGCCATGAACCAAAGTGAAGGTAGTAGAAGGATTTCTTTGGTGAGGTGGGGAGAAGAGACAGACTATGCTAGAATAAGACATGTGGTTTACACCGTGAAAGGTAATCAACACTAGCAGAGAAACACTAGTCTTTTAGGTATTTCATTCAGAATGGGGTTGGGGAGGCCATTGGTCCATTTATTTCCTTATTCTTTATATGTTGAACCCAAAGGACATTTTAAAAAATATTTTTTATGTTTATTTTATTTTTGAGAGACAGACAGACAGACACACACACACACACACACACACACACACAGAGTGTTAGCAGGGGAGGGGCAAAGAGAGAGGGAGACACATGATCAGAAATAGGCTTCAGGCCCTGAGTTCTCAGCACAGAGCCCCATGTGGGGCTTGAACTCATGAACCGCGAGATCATGACCTGAGCTCAATTCAGTGCTTAACTGACTGAGCCACCCAGGGGCCCCAAACCCAAGGGACTTCTTAAAAGCCACATCCGTTTCCTCCAAAAAGCCCCACAATTAAATCAAAGGTGGAATTGGTTGCTTGGAATCTTGGGCCAAAGCATAGAGGAAAAAGAATAGGGACTCTGGGGGTAGGAAAGAGAGAAATAAAAACCAAGGGGAAGGGAGGTGGGGCAGAGAGACAGAGAGAGAGAGCAGTTGCTGATTCCAGGTGGATTTATAGGTATCTAGAGGGGAAATTGTAGTAAACTAAAGAATTACTTTTCTCCACAAATGTGCTTGTTTGCAGATTTTTTTTCTTTTCTGACAGTGCACTGTACTTTAAACCTTGCTAAACATTAAAGGCATGACTACAGGGATAACACTCATTCATCCCACATTATCTGGAATGTGCCAAATACTGTACCTAAAGCTGGCCCGCTGAAATGGGCTCAGCATCCATACCTGGCCTGCCTGTTCACTGCTGAATTCTTAGCACCTGTCTTCTCCTCCCATCTAGCAGGTGCTCATAGAGATTTGTTGATGGGGCGCCTGGGTGGCTCAGTTGGCTGAGTGTCCGACTTCGGCTCTGGTCATGATCTCACGGTCCGTGGGTTTGAGCCCTATGTTGGGCTCTGTGCTGACAGCCAGCTCAGAGCCTGGAGCCTGCTTCCAATTCTGTGTCTCCCTCTCTCTCTGACCCTCCCCTGCTCATGCTGTCTCTCTCTCTCTCTCAAAAATAAATAAAACATTTAAAAAAAGAAATTAAAAAAAGAGATTTGTTGAATAAGTGTATGATAGTTGCACTGTACCTTGTCCAGTGATATCTCAACTCCATGAGGGTAGGAGAAAGTCTCCTTAGATTTTCATTCCTCACTGATGATTGAGAGTTATCTTTATAAAATACAAATCCATATGTAGAACTCCTTTTGTCCCTGTGTTAAATCTTTCAATAGTCTCCCAATATCCTGAGTTTCTCTGTAAAATGGAGATAATAATATATACATCTCACAGGGTTACTTTAGGTCTAAATGAAATAGATATATCATTGCTTAGTGTGTTCCCAGCATGTTGTAGCTGCTCGATAAATTCCAGTTCCTTTCCTTCTCCAATTTTCTAGTCTAATGTCCAGTCCAGTGTTCTAGCCATGTTGAATTTCTTATCAGTCCCACCACACAGGAATGTCAGGAAGGCCATCCTCTCTGTCTGCTTGGTGAACTCCTCTCGTCCTTCAGAACAGAGTTCAAATGTTCCCCTCTTCTGTTAGGCTGTGACCTTGACGGGTGCAAGGACCAAGTCTTATTTGTATTTGTAGAGTGTTTAGAGAGTCTGGGAGAGGCTGAAAAGATGACAGAAGGGTTAGCTTTGCAAAAAGAACTGCTTCTTGGGGCGCCCGGGTGGATCAGTTGGCCAAGCATCCGACTTTGGCTCTGGTCATGATCTCACCGCTCATGGGTTCAAGCCCCACCTCCAGCTCTCAGCTGCCAGTGCAGAGCCTGCTTCGTTTCCTGTCTCCCTCTCCCTCTGCCCCACCCCAGGTGGTGCCTTCTCTGTCTCACAAATAAATAAAAACATAAAAAAAAGTAAAAAAAAAAAAAAAAAAGAACCTCTTCTTCCACTGAAACAAAAGGGAAGGAACTGAAGATGAATAATAGTGAGAATGTAGCAAGAATCTTTAAGGCAACAGGGAAAAGGCGAAATCTCAAGGGGAAAATCTGGCTTGAGGGAGGGAGAATACAGGAAGAAGATGTCACCCCAAGAGATGAAGAGGGTAGAGGAGTGTGGGCAGGAGTAGGGTCTGATCCTTGTCCTTCCTAGATATTTGAGGTCTCAGGATGGACTCAGCACCTGGCTTAGCAAGAAGGGGTTCTTGGGCCTGCAAGGCGCAGGCACCCTGGCCCCACAAAACTAGGCTGAATGGCCTTGCTTCACATCTGAGTCTTTCAGTCCAGCTAGGAGAAGCTGGAGGCTCCAGTTGCTGAGAAGAGGGAAGGTTTGCAGTGATGTGCATAAGGGATGCTGAAGAGCTAGTGGTGGTATCGAACCATGGACACACTATGAAAAAGTGGGGAATCTGTGCAGCAGTGCAATTCTCAGAAGATATGGTAGGAGTGGCAGAGCAAAAGCAGCTGGGGAGGGAGCATTGGTACATATAGCTGCACTGCTCTTTGTTCCAGTGGGCATCTTTTTAAAAAATATTTATTTATTTGAGAAAGAGAGAGAGAGAGAGAGAGAGAACGAGCAGGGAAGGGGAAGAGAGAGAGGGAGATAGAGGATCCGAAGCAGGTTCCGCACTGTCAGCACAGAGCCTGTCGCGGGACTTGAACCCACAAACTGCAAGACCATGACCTGAGCCCAAGTCAGACGCTCAACCAATTGACCCACCCAGGCACCCTTCCAGTTGCCATCTTTGATGACTACATTAAGGTGAGTCTGTGAGTCTCTCTTCCCTTGGTGGTCTGTGGTATAGGTGGGGACTTAGAAAGAAGACACATATGACTCTGACTCGTTCTACTCTAGGCTGTTGGACTAAGCTTCTTAGATTGTTTTGTAACTTACAAAGCACCCTTGACAACTGTTTCCAGGTGACACTTCAAAAACAACAAGCCATTATCTCTGTCAGAGGACTTTGATGCAAACAACAAAAATTGTGAGTAAATTAAGAAAAAAGAATTTACTGGAAGGATACAGACTTGAAGGCTGGAGAGTTGGATATGGAAAATGAGTTGCAACCTAGGAAAGCCAGGCCGCAGGCACCACAACGAAGTCTGTGCCTCAGGAATGATCTGGAATGGCCACCATCACTATGGTAGGGACTCCCATACTCCTAACACCCATCAGGGACACACTGTGGTTGGACACCTACCATCTTTGTTGCTCTAAATAATTCTAAACTTGTCAATATGTTTCATTTCATTCCCTGAAGATTCAGAGTTCAGAGAAGTGTGTCCAGGTGGCCAACCCTGGGTCACAAGTCATGTTCTGGCTGCGGGGGGTCAGGGAGAATATCTCCCTGCTTCAGCTTCCCCAGTCTCAGCAATACTGCAAATACAGCATAGAATGGAGCATTCCGCCAAGTAAGAAGGACCCCAGATGCTGATGGTAAACTAAATAAAACAAATTATCCACCACGCCCTCATCTTTCAGACTGCTTTTCCTTTCCACTTCTGTTTTTGTCAGTTGTCCCTTATAACCTCGGCCTCCTAGACTTGACACGTCAGGACCATCCATCGCTCTCATTTTCCCACACAGTGCATAACTCTCCAGATTTCCTAGGTTTGCCTTGCCTTCTGCCTCTGCTGTGGCTTTGGTAAGGTTACTCTGGCAGTGGCATAGAGGAGAGAAGAGACTGGGAGAAATTGGGAGTCAGACTCCCAGTATGTTAGAGCTAAAAGAGGCCTTTGAATGTATCTATTATAGTGGTCTCATCTATATTCATTAGATGTATTCATTAGATGTATTCATTAGAATTCCTATGGCATTAATAAAATACATATGCTGGTATCTCACCTTCAGTCTTTGGGTTCAGTAGATCTGAAGTGGGACTTTGGTGTGTGCGTGTGTGTGTACCTTTCTGAGGCGCATCCCCAGTTGCAAACTGCTGAATTTCAATGCTCTTTTTTTTTAAGTTTATTTATTTTGAGAGAGAGAAAGCACATGTGAGCAGGGGCAGGGCAGAGAGAGAGCGAGAAAAAGAATCCCAAGCAGGCTCTGTGCTATCAGTGTGGAGCCCGATGGATGTGGGGCTCAATGGACATGGGGCTCCATGAAGCAGGGCTCCATCTCACGAACTGTGAGATCATGACCTGAGCCGAGATCAAGAGTCAGATGCTTAACTGATGGAGCCACCCAGATGCCCCACCAATACCCTTGTTTTAAAGATGAGGAGACTGAGGCCCAGAGAGAAGTCAGCTGTTTGAAATCACACAATGAGTTAATGAGAAGGGTAGAGTGACCAGGACCAATCCCAGATATCCTGGCTTTTGGTCTAGTACGACTCAGACCTCTTTTTTCCCTCTGTGAAAGGAAACTTCCTGTCTTTATTTGTATCTAAGAAAGCACGCTGCATGTCTATGGTTCGGCTCTTCCAAAGTAAATGGGAAGAGCCTCTGATCAAGAGCCCCAAACTGTCAAGAACAAGCCCACACAAGGACCCCAATCCTAATTGTAGCTAGTTTGACCTCTGGACCACAGGCCTCCTTGTCAGAATCTGGGCAAAATGCCTTCAAGAACCTCAACTGGAGAGTGAAATGAGGAGGATCCTTGGATAAAGGACAGTCCAGCGGAAGCCATACTTCTGGGTTTGCCAGGATTCTGACTGGGCCTCTGTGCACACAAGCCCTTGTTTCAATTGCTCGTTGACTCTTCTTTAATTCTTCACTATTCTTTAGCCATCTGTTTCTCATCTTGGGAATCTACTTCTTTCCTTTTCCTGCTTTCTGACTTCCAACAATCATTCGGCCTTGGATTGGTTTACCACCAGTTCAGACACTGTTTTCGGGCAATGGAAGCCCAGAGCTTCTGATGCCTTCCATTACTTTACATTGCTGTTTTGTTTTTTTTTTTAATCTTGCTCTTCTTATAAAACTTGTGCTTTCTTATAAAGATTCCCAACAGGAAATGCCATTTGCTTAATGTCCTCCTCCTCCATATCTACCTTAGTGCAAAGAAAGCAAAGGGTGGGAGAAGTGGTTGAGTAGAACCATCTATGAGAAGGGAGCCTTTCTTTCTCCCATACCCTCTGCATCCAGAAAGGGGGCTGGCATCAAGGTCACTTACTTGGTGACTAGACCAAGCAGGAATGACATGGTAAGAGCTGTCCTTTAGGAAGCAACTCAGCTGTGGAGGATTGGAGGAAGAGAGGCCGTGGGCAGGAAGACCACCTACCGAAGCGACTGCAACAGTCTAGGTGAGAGATGATGGGACATGAATTGGGTGGTGGGAATGGAATGAAGAGGAGAAGATAGTCATTTTGGTGGGAGAAGTGGCAGGATTAAGAAACTGACAGGTGTGGTAGATGAGGGAAAAGCAAAGAACCCTTGGTTTAGAGCTTGAGGGCCTAGGAGGAAAGTACCTTTCACAGGTTGAGGGAAATAAGAAACACGCTGTTTTTGGAAGGAGGGTGGAAGACAGTGACTTTAGCTTTGTACACAAGGGATGCAGACATTCAAGACGCTGTTTCCATCAGGCAGTTCAGTATGCTGCTGGACTGGACTCAGGAGGTCTGGACGGCTGGTGTCAGTGTGGCAGTTTCAGCTGGAAGAAAGTGTGAGGTGGGGAACACCCAAAGAGAGAGGACTGAGCCTAGAAGAATACGCAGGCTTGAGCTCCAAACAAGGGGAAGGGCTTGAAGAAGGAGTCTGAGAAGAAGGCTGAGGGGTTGAGAAAAAAAAAAAAAAAAAACACGGGAAAGTCTGATTTTGCCAGTCAAGAGAGGGGAGTTCCAGGAAGAGAGGTGGAGAGGGACGCTATGGAAATGAGGGCTGACAAGTAGCTGTTATTTTTGGTAGTTGCTGGTCACTAAGTAGGCCTGGTCACAACAGCTCCCCTCTCACGAAATGAAGCACTGAGGGAAGGTTCTGGGTAATTCACATATCCCCCACTCACTTTACCTTCAGTTATCACGGTATTGCAGAATAAATACATGTAATTACTTCATAAAGTTTAATATCGTCTAGAATTTCCAAATCCCCTCAGTTCTCAACTCATCTGGTTCGATAAGAGGAAATTGCAAAAGCTGGAGGGCGAGGCTGAAGACTGCATATAAGGTAGCTAATAAATATTAATGAGGTTTCGCTTCCCGCCAATCAGGCCCGGGGAGAACCTTCTCAGGGCTCATTGGAGCCCTGCCCCCTCATAAATATGTAGCCCGCACCGCCCGCCGCGCACTTCCCCGCCCTCTACTCTTCTCCCTCGCAACGGACTCTCCCTTCAAACGGGAAACAAGATGGCGGCGGCAGGTCCGAGTACTCGGGCCTCTTCCGCGGCGGCGGCGGCAGCTCTGAGTCGGCGGGGCCGACGGGGCCGCTGCGACGAGATGGCGGCAGCCAAGACTGGGGCCCCGGGCGCGGCCTCTGGCCCCGCGCTGCTGGTGCTGCCGCCGCCGCCGCCGCTGCAGCCGCCGCCACCGCCGCGGCCGGAGGAGTCGGGCTGCGCCGGGTGTCTGGAGACCCTCGGGGAAGCGGCGGCCCTGCCGTGCGGCCACTCGCTGTGCCGAGGCTGCGCCCAGCGCGCCGCCGACGCAGCGGGCCCGGGCTGCCCGCGCTGCCGAGCCCGCGGCCCGGGGTGGGCCCGCCGTCGGGCCCGCGACGACGGCCAGGCCGACGCGGAGGTGCAGGGCGAGCGCGCCCGCCGCGGACAGCCGGAGCGCTGCCGCCAGCGCCGGGACGGGGGCGCGGCCGCCGCGGGGTCCAGGCCGGAGCCGGAGCCGCGCGCCGCGGCCGCAGAGCCAGGTGGAGCTTTCCCTCCTCCCTTTGGGGGTCCGGAGAGAGGCCGAGCGCGCCCGGCCTGGCCTGGTTCGGGGGTGGGGGGTCCCAGGCCGTACTCGAGCGGCTGTGTAGAGTTCGCGTGATGTTGGAGCTGGGCTCTGTCCAGGCGCATCTGTTTCTGCATTTTGAACTTCAGAATTAGGTACGGGCACGATGGACTTGGAGGGGCAGTGAGGGGATCCCGCGCCTTACGGAAGTTAGAAGTTTGGAGGGAAACGGCATTCTTGGAACAAGTTAGGGCCAGGTTGGAATGGTGTGTGGGAGAAGGGTTCCTAACTTTGCAGGGGCCCTGGAGGATCAGAGAAGTGCTTGGTTTCGTGTTGGGTGAAGAGCTAGGGGTGGAACTGCGCGTTAGAGAAGTGGCTCCTGGGCCTCAGTGGGTCAGGGAGAGGAATGGAGTGTCCGGAGTTAAGGGGGCGGGTTGAATTTGGGGATGTGAAGGGAGCTTTTCAGACTAGAGTGTAGAGTGGGTTGAGAGAATGAACTCACAAGTGCAGTTTTCACGAAATCTTGACAGAGCCTCGCACGGCAGGGTTATTTATATTTATAACTAATAACTGCAAAAATGAATAAGCTCCAGGAGTGCTCGACAAAATACCCAAAACAACAACAAAACTGGGTGGGGGGTTAAAAGTTTCAGAAATGGAGACTGATTGGCAGGGGCTGCTTCTGTCTCCATGGCTGTGTAGGTTTCCTACTACCATCCTGGCAATTAAAAGTTGCCGGCCTGTTGCTTTCAACTTCTTTGCCTTTCTGTACCTTCCACAGCCTGCCACTCTGGTTCTGAGCTCGAAGTTGAAGTGCCCTGTAAAACACAAAATAGAACTGTGTATAACTTAGGACTCTGAGACGGGTCCAGTCGTCACAACATCTATGTTCTTTGAGAAAAAATGCATCCCTCGGAGGAGGTTTCCAAGAAATATAGTTAGGAAAGGCCAGATATTTGCACCATTTGTGTTGGGAATTCTGCCGTGTGGTTTTTTTTCTTTTCCTCAGTAGGGAGAAGGAGGCGTTGCTTGTGTATGGAAGTGCAGTCTGTAGAAACTACAGGTTCCAGAATGCAGTCTGTTTTGATTCAAGCAGACACCTGCCACTGTCCGAGGATACCTTACTTTAATTTCCGTGTCTTACTTGCTATATTCCTTATTTTTCAAGTTTCACAACTTCTTATGAGATAGGTACTTTTATTTCCATATTACAGATCAAATTGAGGCCCAGAGAGGTTAAGTAACTTGCCTAAGGATGAAACCCAATTCCATCTGATTCTTGCTCAGATTAGATGAGAAGGCCTCCCCAAATGTTATCTAATTTGTGGGTGCTCTGTGATCTCATATGCTCTTTAATTTGCTTCAAATTCTGACATTATGGTAAAAAGTTCTCTGGTCTCCCTACTAGTACTGTTGATTAAATGGTCAAATAAGAAAGAGATGTCTTTTTATTTCTGAAGTCTGACTCCTCTGTGAAATACCAGGTCTGGAATTTGATACGTGAGAGGGAGTATGGCTTGATAATTTGTGCAAACTTTTTCTCTTGAAGAAATTTGTTATAAAATGTATCAGTGATTAAGGAAAATTATATAAAATGAGATTCCAAATTAGGATCTATTGAATCACTGAGTATCCACCAGTTATTTTATTATGTTTACATGAGG